TTTATTTATTTGACAGAGAGAGACACAGTGAGAGAGGGAACACAAGCAGGGGGAGTGGGAGAGGGAGAAGCAGGCTTCCCGTGGAGCAGGGAGCCAGATGCAGGGCTCGATCCCAGGACTCTGGGATCATGACCTGAGCCGAAGGCAGACGCTTAACGACTGAGCCACCCAGGTGCCCCTATTTCATAATTTTTTAACAGAAATAAATCTGTGAAGAATAAACCACACATCACTCAGTTTCCTTTTCTTTTGCTTCAGTCATTTGCTTTCTTCTCTATACGATCCTATTGTTGGGCAGGCTTTTTGTGCAGTTTCACACATCTAAAAGTAGAAGTGCTTTGGTGAACAACCAATGACTCTTTAAATGGTCATTCTGTATTTCCTATGGCATTATAATGGATTACTTGCATGCTGAATGTGAATCTCTTTTCTCCTATAGGTGATATTTTTAGCTGCCATGCAGTTGATAATCCCAAACCCCATTCAGAGCTCGAAATGCTCAGGCAATATGGACCAAATGTGCCTGAACCCATCCTTCAGAAGCTTGTGGCTGTCTTTGGAGAGCTGAGGAGTTTAGCTGACCAGGGGATTATTAACTATCCTTATTCTACCAGAGAAGTTGTCAACATAGTGAAACATTTACAGGTATGGCATATGCCTGTGCATAAAGGTTTGAAAGAAACCATCAATCTTGGTTTTTTTTAGACTGCTTAATGTATACCAAGTCTTTCAGTTTCTAAGATATAATACTGATTCAGATGATATAATATGAAGTGTTTGTAATCTAAATTTTAAATCTGGAAGACTGACGAGCAGTTTACATTTAGTGTTTGAATTGACTTAGGCAAGGTTCTATGCCATGGCCATTACCAAGGAGCTAGGAAATTCAGTGGGGGTTTTTGGGGGGTGAGGGAAGACTAGAGAGTGAGACAGCAGGGAAACTTTACCACTCTCCGACTTCATACCACAAGCATGTGGTATCTGAGTGAGAAATATTTCCTTTTTTTTTGACAGACACAGCGAGAGAAGGAACACAAGCAGGGGGAGTGGGAGAGGGAGAAGAAGGCTTTCCGCTGAGCAGGGAGCATGATGTGGGGCTCCATCCCAGGATGCTGGGGTCATGACCTGAGCTGAAGGCAGACGCTTAACGACTGAGCCACCCAGGCACCCCAGAATATTTCCATTTTGAAAACAAAAGACGTGGAGATAGAAAACTCAGTAGGAACTAACAGTATTTATGATATGCCTATAAAGACTGCAAGAAAGTTCTATAAGATAGAATAAATGGACAGGAAAATGCAGTTCTTTGTAGCCAAGTTCTACTTTTATAATAAATAATGGTTTCTGAGCAAAAAGTCACAACCTAATGACTCTTGACCTCTGATCTGTCCCCAACTCTCTAAGGAAAATCTAAGGAAGCTTTTCTAAGGAAAAACTTCATTCTGTATATTAAACCATGAGAAGCTCAACTCAGATCCCAGAGCCTAAAGAAAATCAGGACAGAGCCAATAGAGGACCCAGAGTACCCAGCCAGTGTAAATCTCACTGTTAGTAGTATTTTTTTTTCCCTCTTCTATTCCCTGTTTGTCTGTTCACTGTACTTTCTATGTTCTTCTTCTCTTCTTTTCTTGCTCCTTTATCTTTCCTTTCATTTATTCATAGACCTGTGACTTCTCTACTTCTGTATAGATATTCAGCCCTGCTCTGTATAAATAGTATTTTTTTTATTTAGTCAATCTACTACTCATTTTAAAGGCAGTGGAAGTCACTGAACAGGATCTGATCACTGATTTAGCATTTGAGAGAAGGAACTATTTCCCCTCAAATTCTAATATTTATTTGAAAAGGAAAATATTAAGTTATCAGAGCAAACATTAAAAGGAAAATGTATATATTCCTCCTATCTTGTTACCTGCCAAGGCTTGTAAATATCTGCTACAGTTGATTCGATCATTATTGTTCTATCAGTTTTATAAATAATCACATGTGTCATGAGGGAATTTTTTTTTTTAATACAGAAATTTCCCACTGAAGGTCTCTCCAGTGTGGTTAGGAATGTGTTTGACTTCGATTCCTACAACAACGACATGAGGGAGATTTTGATTAACACTTTGCACAAGTATGGGATACCTATCGGAACAAAACCAACCAGTGTACAGCTGGCGAAGGAGTAAGGCAAACTCATTATAGATCAAATACGCTTGGGGGTTACCGTTCTGATTCTTACATGGTGATAATTCTGAACTACTATTACATGCTGCTAAACTGACGGGTGGAAATTCCATGAGTAAGCTTTTCACATGTGTGTGGCTGTTTGCTGGCTGGATTTCAGTCAAAATGCATTCTTTATAGGCCTATAAATTGAGAATTTTAATTATTTTGAGTGTCCCGTGAGTAGATGTAATGTAATCAAATAGAGGGAAATATTTGTTTCTTTAACAGTCTCTGTCCTTCTGTTGAATTACTATGACTCTCATTATTTCCTAATCTAGTGCAAAATCATGATACAAACATGAAAACTACATAAAGGGATAATATGTATTTCATTAAGGTGATCTTATTTATGTCACCATATGTTTTTCTGTTATGATCATTTTCTAAATTTATAATCATATTAACTTAGAATGTTGGTTAGTTCTTTCAGCTCAACAGATGAGAGAGGTAGTGAAAACAAGTGGGTTTGTTTCACAGAGGCCAATTGCCTGCTTTTTATTTTGTAATTATAGGCTACGTACTTAACCTTAGTAAAGAATCTTGCAAATACGTTGTTTACCAGAAAGATAGCTGATATAGTTTGTAATTAAGTCAGTGCAAATTCACTAGAAAACAGTTTTAGATGTGTGTCAGTCAACTGATAATGCATCTAATGCTATCTTTTCTATAAAAAATAGTCATTACCATGATTCTCAAGGGACAATAATTACTTTTAAATTATTATTTAAATTTAGTGTCATATAGGAGGCAGTCTACCTTCCTTGGAAAAAAGTTGTTAAGTATAAATTAATGATTAGTCCAGCTAGGCACACACACACATACATATATACACATATATATCCTAAGTGGATATATCATCCAATTTATTTATTCTTTGAAGTTATTATAAAAACTCATCAGAATATATACAAATAAAAATAAATTCTTAAAGCTTTAACAGTTTCTTCAAGGATTCTTAAAGAGAAACAAATATTTCCCTTTTGTGGTAAAAGCACAAGACAGAGTTATGTTTGAAATCATCAGTGAATTGGTTTATATTATTAATGAATGAGTAAATTTTTTTGAAAACAGTCATTTGGTGTCAGTTGTTAATACCTGCAATTTTCTCTAGAATACTGTTTTACTGATTGATTAGCAGTGTTTGTAGGCATTTTGAAACTAGTTTCCTAATTTAATAGCATACCTTCTATATTAGAGAGTTCAAGAAATTATCTTTAATATACAAACTTCTATAAGTGCTCATGTTTTTTACTTCTTTTTTTATGAACTATATCTTTATTTTCAATTGGAAATAAGATGGTTTTTATTTATTTTTTTATTATTATTTTTATTTAATTTTATTATCATTAACAAATTTCTATAGAGTCTTGACTTCATGGAAACCAGACTTACGATTTAAAAATGACTTTTTTTGGATGCTTGAACAACTTGAAATAAAAATTAAAATACATATCAGTTGGTAAGATAAATCAAAAGAAAATGGTTGGCATTTTAAGTTTCTAAGGAAGATAGATAAAATGGTTTAACTTATTCATTCCAGTCTTCAGTTCTAAACTGAAAAATTCTTGCCGTGGCAAGTTAATTCTAGTACTTGTGAGTGGAAACATTGAGCCGAGAAACAAGATGGTCACACTCATGCCTAAGATGGGGATGGAAACAACTAGTTGTCCACCCACTGCATACAGCTAAAAATAGACTCATAGAGCAGTGAATTTTCCCTTGGATTGGAGATAATAGTAGACTACAGTTCGCACATTCACAGCATTTTTTCCACGCCAGTAAATTGCAATGACTAGGGCAGCTCAAGAGTAGTGATATCATTTTCTTGCCCTCTAAGTGAAATCCACAGGTTCCATATGTCTATTTCTGTTGAACAATCAGTCCTGTACTTTGGATAGGATTGCACGGTAAGTGACAAAGTAATGGCCTGGGAATTCAGCAATTAGTCACATATTCAACCTGTGTGTCTGGTCAGTGATGGAGAAACACATCTTAGCCTGTTGGTAAAATGAGGGCATTTTAGATAGCATAATTATATTAGACAGCATCTAATTAGTACATGTTTAACAATGGAAGGGGTGCATTTAATAATAACTGTAAAAAGAGGTGTAAAATAAGACTGTCTTAGTGAGGCCAGAATATAGGGTCATTTTCATAAAGTTAATAAGGTTAACTTTATTGATAAGATTGCTTCCTATTCTAACATCCTTTGCATTTTAATGTAATCTTAATTTTCTCGCCTTGCAAAAACAAAAACAAATAAGAAAAGAGTGATACTAATGTTTTCTTTTTTCTCCCTAGAGTAGCACACTGTTAATAGTAATCACATAGACCTCTGAAGTTTTAAAGTTGTCCCCATGTGGCCTTATAATTTGCTTTGACTTTTCTAGACCTTTTGCTGAACCAGTTCTTCCAGGCTGGCTCCTGCCCACCTCTGCATATACTATGTCAGTGAAGAAGGTCTTCACTGGGCTTCTGTTCCTAAAAAAGAAAGACAAAATGTTTTAATTATTGATAATATCATTTTGCCCTAAATGAAAAATCCTTGCTACAGCCTCTTAATCTTGTTCTCTAATCCAACCATAGTGTTTCTTGGATGCGAGCAAAATTACACTGACTCCAGAATAAGGTGTTCACATTCACGCTCAAGATGGGGATGGAAAAGTAATTGGCCACCCAATGTATATAACTAAGAAGGGCTGTAAGGCAGACCTTGTAGAAGAAGGCAGTTTTCACGTGGACACGGATGAAGCTAGAGCGCTGTTGGTACTGTCTTCTGTAGCACCCTCTTCCTCAGCTGCAATCAGAACATATTTTGGCTGTCTGGCGATGTCCCATTCCTGCTCTTTGGTGAATTCCCAGAAGAGATGCTGGCACTTCCCCTTTTGTTCTCCTAAAGAGTGCAGGATGGTACCTATTTCATAGGTCTGTGTGTGTTTTTTGGTTTTTTTTTCAAGATTTTATTTATTTATTTGACAGAGACAGCGAGAGAGGTTTGGAACGCAAGCCGGGGGAGAGGGAGAGGGAGAAGCAGGCTCCCCACCAAGCAGGGAGCCCGATGCGGGGCTCGATCCCAGGACCCCGGGATCATGACCTGAGCCGAAGGCAGACGCCCAACGACTGAGCCACCCAGGCGCCCGGTCTGTGTGCGTTTTTAAAAGGCCCAGTGTCCTATTATAAAGTGAATATGACTGATCTTCTTTACTAAACTTTTGCTAAACCGGATACTTTTAGGCTGAGTCTTATTGGATGGTTATTTTACCATGCCTGTCATGTGTAACACAGCTCTTATTCCTGATCTATAATATATTCCCAATTCTTAGTACTGAGATCAGAATTGGCCACCTAGACCCCCACGTTACATTGGCCTTTTCCCACTAGTACTTCCTGAGGTTTTTTGTTCGTTTGTTTGTTTTTTTATTGTTCCCTTTTCAGTTTCTAATATATGAGATAGGATAGACCAAAGAGATGGCAGACATAGCCAAATAAGGAGGCACACTGGGAGAAATTTAGGCAGAGATCAAAGGATTTGGGTTAAAATCTGAGCTCTTAAAAAAATAATCTGAGGGGCGCCCGGGTGGCTCAGTTGGTTGAGCGTCTGCCTTCGGCTCATGTCATGATCCCAGGGTCGTGGGATCGAGCCCCGCATCGGGCTCCCTGCCCAGCGGGGAGCCTGCTTCTCCCTCTGCCTCTGCCTGCAGCTCTCTCTGCTTGTGCTCTCTCTCTGACAAATAAATAAATAGAACATTTAAAAAAATAATAATAATCTGAGCTACAGAGTTTCAGATGTCATTGTTGGAGGGGAAAATGAGTGCACACATACAATTAGGTCTAAAGATCCAACCAGAAGCGTATCAGTGATCTACTATGGTAGAGATAGATAATAAATTTCAAAGCAAAGTTTTCTTGTTTTTCCTTAAAATGAGCTTTTATTTTTTGAAGTTTCTTTTATTTAGGAATAAAGATACTATTAGCACATTGGTTCTTCTAAATTTAAAAGTGTGTTTCAGAGTAATTTATGATCTCTAACATGCTGGGGGGAAGCATTTATTTTAAAGGAAAAAAAATCTTGTTTTTTGGAACATAATTTTAAGTGACTTATACAATATTTTATCTTAAATTTATATGCCACTCTCAACTTCACGTTTCTTAAGATGAGAGAATTATCATTTCATAGATTTACAGTGGAATATGAATACTCTATCTCTAAACATATTAATTAATAACAATAATGATGATGGTAATGTAAACAACTTACAGATAACTATGTGCCCAGCATATTTCCAGGCACTCTCTTACATGAATTTAGATAATCCTCATAACAAACCTATCATATATAATGTTATATATATATATATCTGTATATATATATACACACACACGCATACAATATTATTATTATTGCATTTTGTAGATGAGGAATTTGAGACAGAAGTTATGTCAATTGCTTAAGGTTAGAAGGCTAATGGGGGCAAATACTATACATATACATAATTTTAATTCCAATTCTAAAGACAAATGAAGGCAGATTGATATGCAAATTACAATTCAGAGTTACTCTTTGGGTACTGAAAATTACTGAAATTGGTTTAAAAGGGCCCTGAGATGTTAGGTAAGCAACTTAGAAACATTGCTGACTGTGATGTCATACGTGTGTAACTCTTCACAGAGTTATGATAGATGCAGATTTGGGGGGGGTAGCCCCCAGTGATCTTTCACAATGAAAAGTAAGTCAAAAAGTGGATCAACATAGACTTTTGGCACAACAAAGATCATTTGAGAAACCTCTTCATTCCCAGTTAAGTTTTCCCTTTTTTTTTTTTTTTGCATGATCATGAAGTAAAACACAAGGTAAAACTTTATTTGGCTGCTATATATACAAAACTTACTGGCCATTATTCCTTCCTGATTTGGAACACAAAACTAATTTATAGAATCTTCTTAAAGGTTATGGTC